TATATATAGATTGATTAAGAATTAAGCAAAACCAGATGCACTGGAATACCACAACCAACATAGACATATTTATTACACATATATATAATTCTTTATATATGTATACTTGTACAAAGTTCTAATCGTCTGAATATTGAATCTATCTATCTCATCTCATCTTATCTAATCTAGGCACCACAAACAACGCCTTCCTCTTCTTTTTGCACCTACTCAACTGCGCCCATAAAAAAGCCCAGCACTTTAACCATAACTGTTCCACATGGACATATTCAAGTTGTATGAGTTAGTAAACTCGTTTCTTATTCTTTTCCAAACTCATCTTTACACGATTATTTTAGCAGTCTTTCACTGAAGCCTCTTCAGTCATTTCACATCAACTATAACATTCATTATGCTTTCACTCTCTTCCTCTCAGTCCATTCTCCTCAGTTTTCGTTCTCCATCAGTCTCCGTCATTTCGTTTCGTCATTACCACTAAATCTGATATCTTTTCCTCTTTTATGTATTGTGTCATAACTCCCTCATTCCCCAAGCAACCATGCAAATGTAATAACTGTCTCTAACTACTGTCCCATTCTCTAAATAATCATTCAGTCATCGTGACTCTGTTAGCTTCTTTTTCTTACATCCGAATGCAAATATGCATTATAATCAAGAAGCGAGCGGCTTCTCATATCAAAATGCGGAAGTGCACATATATATATATATATATCTTTGTATCTCGCCTTTGCTCTCTGTAATCTCTTGAAATCGATATACTCACCCTGATGCTGCCCTTCTCCCCTCCACACCAAACAATTCTCTTCAATCGCACTATATCGTGATCTAATACATCTTTCAAACCTCCTAATACTTCGTTTATCAGTACTCTTTTTCCTGTTCTCCATTTTGGACCCTCCTGAACAATTGTTCTATACCATTTCTCTTTGATTCTTCAAAATAAGAAGATAATTTGTGTGTGATATGCTATTGGAAGAAGTATGATAGCGTCTTTCATACAGTGAAGTTCGTTTTGCGAGCGATACAGTTTTATAGTAATGATAACGAGAAGTGAATTGTATCATCATTCCATTTGGTCGTGTTATAACATCTTTCAAATTTATCCATCCTTCTTAGTTATTTGCAAATTCATCACTAATCAGCTGTATTAGCATAAAGGAAACTAATCAACTTGCAAGCATTTCAAGTTGAAACATCCATTTTCAAAGTACTCCTTCGTATTTGCAACTGGCGAACATTAATTCATTTCAGTGATAGAAGTGATCATTTTCAGTGATAAGTTGATTTATTGATACAAGGTTTTTTGGGGTGATGAAATTTGATGTAGACGTTTTTTTGTGTTGATAAAGACTCATTACTTGCTTCTAATGTTCTTGATTACGCTGCATAACTTGTTCTTACTTGAAATTGGTTGCTTTTTCTGGACACACTGCTTTTCGCAGTCACCATATTTACGAATATTACATTGATTGAAGAGTGGCGAAGTAAGTCTGAGTCAAACTCTACCAAAAAGTAAAAGCGTAGTGTCGACATGTTAGCGAAGATATGGATGAACTGGTTTTCAGTGCACCTAAGCCCCAATTGGAGGGCATTCTTGTCGCCTCTGGCCTCCCATTATGTGCACATGTAGGGCATTCCATGGATGAAATAGTTCCTGACGTCCAAAGCAATTGACGGAAGTTTTTGCAGGGTCTCCAGCCCTTCAACCTACAGACTTTTCGAGATTCCATGTGAGGGATAATTTTCAAAATACCTAAGGGAGGATGGCAAGTCACTGATGGGGGGAGAGGGGGAAGCAGGATCCTCTCGTCCCATGACTTCCGACATGTCAGGAATTCCATGGGTGAAGTAATTCCCATCGTGCCTAAGCCACAAATATATGGCCCCACACTAGACAAATAGTAAGCCTCATCATAACAGTAAGGTGAACCTCAACCTAATGTTCATCCCAGTTTTTTTTTAAGGCTAAAATCCTCTCTTATGAGTTTTTCGTATACTGCACCTTTTTGGACCATCCTAGCACTAAGCGTTACTCGTGAATCTCAAGCAGATTTTGGCAAAAATAATGCCAAAATTTGACGTTGATAAAAAAGAGGAGGAAAGCCTATGCCCCATTAACTGCAAAACAATTCATGTTCGTTTTTATGCTCCATTATTTCACTACGAGAGCTTCCGTTCTCTTCGATTCCTTCTTTCACGTTTCACTTTCACCATAACTTGCTCATCAATAAAACCATAATTTCATCTTCACATTACACTTCTGCGAAGGTTTCGGGTTTCAATGCAGATGCCATCGTTTGCATTGAAACGTTTGTTGTGTTGCGGCGCTGGATGATGGGCTTCGTTTAGCGGCCGTAATACGTTGTCAAGAATAGTTTATTAATCCCAGAGCCTGCGTACTGCTGCGCGCATACGTTTCGCTGCGACAGGATTTGCGTTATCTTTACATCTCCTTAATTTTGCTACTTTCATGCTTATTGGTTTTCCGTTTTCATGCTTTGTTTTCTGCATTATTGGCCATATTTTGGGAGATGATAAATTTTGTTTGTTGAAAATTTTAGATGTTCGAGGTAAAAAGTAAACAACACATTATGTAATGATGATGACAGGTCGCAATAACTTCACCTCTTTTTATATTTCAGTACGCTGTGTTGACCTATTAAATGAATGCTAACGGCGGCTGTTTTTCTGCTGAAGAAACTCGATAAGACATGATATTAAATAACTGACACTCGTGCAGTAGTTGCTCCAAACGACAGAAACAGGGTAAAAAATTAATGCGTCCGAAATGTGATCAAAGGGTCAGTGTCTGTTTCACTTGAATGGTTCGCACTTTTCGATGATTGCGTTTTGCCTTGTCCATACTTGTGTGTTCGTTCGTTAGGGGACGGGATCTCCGACGAGGAACTACTCCACGACGATTTTGCCCTCTCGACTTTTTTGTCATGGTCCTCTCCACGGTCTTTTTGACCATTTTGCTCTATGCGAAGGTTCTCCTCTAATTGCAAGACTTTGCAAAAAAACGTTTTTGTGTAGTGGGAATTTTGAACGTTTTATTCCTGAGGCGAAATTGTCGTTTTTTTTTTCGATGAACTGTAAAGGTCGTACAGGCACAGCAGTATATTCACATATATTTCAGGCTGATCTGCCTGCATCAAACCGCAATTCATATTCAGGCGTGGGCCAACGCTTACGAGCGAATTTGTGCTGAGGCTTAGATGCACGCTTGCAATTAGCTGAGAGGAGAAATTTTCTATGAAATTGCGTTGAATTGCTCCTCGTCCTTCCCAGCGCAGTCATTCCTTGATGAGGTTCCCACCATCCGATAGTTTTGCTCCCCGACTTTTCTGTCACGGTCCCGTCGGGCGAATTCTTTCCCACGAAGGCCAATTTACCCTGCAAATTTTTGTCTGGATCCCCTCTTCCCGATCAGTTTGTTATCCGATGAGGTCCTACCGGCCAAAAAGTCGCTTCCCGATGAACACTATTCCATACTGCTGTCATTCCTTCAATACGACTTTGCAACTGATGTTGTTAACAACGCCAACGAGAATATGGATAATGTTTAATGTGAAATTCTGAATGGTTATTGGATCAAAAAGATGCTTCATTATCGACCATTAGATTGGATACTGCTGGGCAATTTGGCTGCAGAAGTTATCGAAACAGTCATCACCACCAAACTGCTTTCTTCTTCAGATGAACTGTTGGAAGGAGATTGCGATCTGCCCCATACCGTGTCTCATGATTTTTGCCACACTGCATCAATGCCGTTCATTCACATATTCCTTAAATGATTCATAGTTTGATGTGCCTAGCTTTGTGGCAGCTCTTTCAAATCATCATACGTCGGCCATAAATCTGATAGAATGTTAGTTCCTTGATCTCTACACTATCTATGATCAACGTCACCTTGAAACTCTGAAATGTCTTTGCTAATTTTTCCATTTCTCTGTTTGCTCCACCACCTAAATTTTGTCGTGTTAACTACCTGTGCCGCTTTTCCATTCAAAAAAACAATCTAAGTTATCTGATGGACAAGGTGAATGACGGATGCGACGTCTGAACTTGGAAGAAAGTTGAGTGATTTGTGGTCTTACGGCTCAAATATCGCAAGAACGCCAGATAACGGTCGAGAACTAATTTTTGGACAATCATTCATGTAAGCTGTGCCCGATTGTAAACGTTTCTGCCCAAATCTCGCTAAACACCGAAATTTATTCCATTCTGGAATTTTCGAGTCGTTGCTTTACGTATCCATGTTTGCTCAAAATAATTTCGTATATGAGTTTTCCACCGTCGTTTCTGTCTTCCCGTGGGAAGTTTGCGTGTTCGTTTCCATAGCCCTTATATTTCGTAAACTCAATATAACCAGCTCATGTACGCTTTCAGTTATATATTGTCTCGATAGCTATTTCGAAAGCACTTGTTATTTTTGATGAGAAATTTGAAATATGGTCTCATATAGATATTTCATTTTCAAATGCTCATTGAATGATAGTTTATATTTCTCAGTTCGGGTTGTGCTCCAACATTCTGATCTATTGTTGAATTAAATAAGTCTTTTTTTATGTGCACCACAATTTGTTCGTCTCTTAGTGTCGTTTAAAAACTTTTCGAAGCAGTTCTTATTCGGACACGTTCTTTTTGAACTTATTACCGTATAAAACCAGTTAACCTAAACGTACAATATTTTCAGCAATCAAAAAATGAAGAATGTCTAAAAATTCTTCGAGATACACTTGCTTGAAGCATTGTTTCCTCGAAGTTCATGCTATGAAATCAAAATTTTCATTCACTCCCATCGAAAAAGAAATCTTTATTTAAAGAATTAAAAAAGGAAAATAGTGAAAGTGAAACATGCTCAGAATATGAACTGAAGGAAAGAGAATATCAAAATGAAATAGTAGAACATGAATGCAGCAAAGGAGTATGAAAATATGGCTCAGAAAAGTCAACCAATTCCAAACAAGAAAGACATGTGCAACGTGAACAAGAACACCAGAAACAAGTAACGAAAAATTTATTCGTCTTAATGAACACAGAAATATTTCAATTATCCGTAACAAATTTTATCGTCCGAGAAAATGGTTTCCATTAGGAGGTTATTTTAAGAACTCAAAGAAGAGCCATATCGATAAATCATTTTACCGGATTGTTACAAAAAAATAACTGTCTCTTCTCAAAGTATCATTGACAAGAAATGTACATGAGAGCAAATGAGCAGCAAACACCGAACTGTTTACAGTTTTATACTCTTCCAAACTGTTTTTCGTCCACCAAATTCTCAGTCCATTCCAGTTGTTTCTGTCGCTTTTAGCGGCAAAATGACGATGAAATAACTATATTCCAAGTTTGCTTTGATTGAAACGAAAAGATGATTGATTTGCAACAAACGGTTTACAATTCAACTTGTCCATCTTTTCGCGCTCGAGCAAATTTTTATTTTGCGAACGAAATTCTCAAGGGATTATTCGCTTATTTCAAAGAAGAATTCATTAATTCAACAGTTATATACATTGAAGCGCATGAAAAATCATCATAAATATTCATTAGTTGATTCAGCTTTTCAATATCATAATTCATCAAACCCTATTAATAAAAGCACCAAATCATTCCACTAGATACTTTTTTTAAGTGATAATCCAATTACATCGTTACATTCAATTGGGTTCGTAGCCAAAAATGAAAATTTGATGGGTGAAGGGGAGATCTTTAATTTTTGGAAGGTTTTTACACTAACGTAAGCAAAAAACGTTCTTTTGTATGCCCATCTTGTTTGAATTGCCATGGTGAGCGCATTATATTTGTTATTGGACTCTCTCCTCGTGACCACAGGTCTGCATTCAATTCTTTCTATTATCAATTTA